GCACCTCGTCCTAAATTTGTCTGCCATAGTAGTTGTCATGATTCCAAGCATCAGACAGTGGACTTGGTACATTCTCAAACGATTCGCCGGCATCAAAGTTGGCATCATCAGTCAGTTTTGTCATTCTCCGCGCCAAGCTACGAGCTCGTCAAAGAGACAAGTGAACTCGATCCCTCGACAAACGTTCTACCGAAAATGGTTACACTATCACTCCTCTTTCTGTCTTGGTCTATCTATCTACTCTTTACCATCTTATCCAACTTTCGCCCAATCACAACTTCGCACATGTCTACATTCCACTCGTCGAAAGGTGCACTCTTTTGTGGCAAATCTAGTGTGGCCTCATCACACCCTCTACAAGAGAGGGGGGGTCGGGGTGAATAGAGGGTGTGATGAGGCCACAATAGAATTGCCACAAAAGAGCGCACCTTTCGACGAGTGGAATGTAGACATGTGAGAAGTTGTGATCGCGCGGAAGTTGGATAAGATGGTAAAGAGTAGATAGATGGGCCAGGACAGAACGTTTGTCAAGGGATCGAGTTCACTTGTCTCTTTCACGAGCTCGGAAAAACTGACTGATGATGCCGACTACGATGCCGGCGTAACGTTTGAGAATGTACCAAGTCCACTGTCTGATGCTGGGCATCATGACAACTAGTATGGCAGACAAACTTCGGACGAGGTGCGTTCTACTAAGTCGCCCCGACAACAAGACCAAGTTGCGACAACGAGGTCAACCCACTTGTATAAATGGAAGGGAGTCTGCGACCATACCAGCAGCCACAACATCTTGGTCTTCATATCTTCAAAAAGATGTTTTTAAATTGAATTCTTGCACAAAGACTCTATTGACTATCCATAGACCCGTGTGTAGCTGTTGTTATTAGCAAATTTAGTGAGCTACCACGTTTTTAAGCCTAAGGACCGTATTGCTAACTTCTTTGCATCAATATTCGGTAAACTTCCTGATTCCGTCAAAGCATTTTCAAGCTTATTCTCGCAAGACTCTCACTTTTAAGTGTCATGGCTTGACACAGACTTAATGCGTGTTGTGCAATAATTTAGGTTACATCGTGAGGAAGATGAACTGCGGCGAGAAGCGGAAATGGCACTTCGTGAGAAAGAGGAGCGATTCCGAAAGAATCTTAAGGAACGAGAGGTCAAATTGCAGGAGGTCTGTTACTTAGCTTTGCTTTAAACATTACACTTTGCTTTCATTTTATGCCTCTGTCGGTAGATTTGGGCAGAGAAAGTTTATATTCTAGCCTGACTCGGAACCAGGGAAGATTTCCTGACTTCTTTTTTTTCATCAAACCGTCATTTTTGAGAAGGAGATCCGTACTCAGTCAGTTCGAGAGGCCAGCGGCTTGGAGGAAACTACACGAAATTAGATCGCCTGTCTTTTTGGCAGACGCATGTTTATGATTAAGTCACAGTGGACGAACGAAGAGGGATGTAGGCCAGAACAGTTGTCAATCTCTCTCACTCAACATTAGCTTTGCTGCTATCTCCTATGGAAGCTTTATTTAATTTTATTGGCTTATTCATATTTGCTACTATATTGGACATATGGAAGTTTTTATTATTTATTT